TTTTGAGAGGCATTGAGTCTTTTTGTTGGTCTACCCTTAACTTTGAACATACATACAAATTTCACCCCATCTATTTGCTCCATTCCAATGTTTTCCCTCTGAAGTCTAACATAACTGATCACTCATAGTCCCTCAAGGTGCATAAAGGTTCTCTTGTGACTTCATTGCTAGTCTGTTTGTGTAAACTAATACAGGTATACATGTACACTGTAAAGTAGCTGTGCATATATCCAGCAATAAGGCCAAATTACTCTGACTTGCAGTGTTCCTTTTCTCATGATTTGTGATCTTGCTGTTACTAAGGGAATAAATCACCAATTAGGACCAAACCTCTTTAAGTAGGAGACAAATCCCTCTGCTGAAACTCAGAGCAAAAAAACACACAGATGAACAAACAGAAATAGTTGGTTGCTGCTGTTTGTTGGAAATTGGAATAGAACCGGCTAATATTTGACTTTGTGAGGCTAAGGTTGAACTTAGCCTCACAACAGTTAACTCTGTATGATGTACAGGGACACTTCCTACTCCTAGAGAAGTGCAGGTGTTTGCCCAGGCTCTCATCAGTCTTTCCACTGACGGTTCATGTACAGATTAGGGGCCACTCAAAATTTTCAGTGTTTTTTAAATTTCTATTTTTTTTCATTTTTTTGATCGACCCACCCACCCCCAATTTCGATTACAAAAACTGAATTTTCATCCAGTACGTGTACATTATACATTTGATATAAATTTATATATATGTAAAAATCTACTATGCAACACAGTATAACAAGATGATGGCTGGAATTGCAATAAATGATCGTGATTGATCATGCACGCAACAGCATGCCATGTCCAATCCAATCAAAAAGGGATCTCCCAAGGTACGGCTACCCCTACAGTCAATTACTGCGTCTCCACGCACATGCATATGTATTTCTATTGAAACAGAGACTTAGACCTAGCTCTAGCCAACAGATTTGGACGCAATATGCTGCTTTCTGGTTAGTCTTAGATACAAGGTGATGAACATATCACCATTATTAGTAACTGGTTATATAGTAGGTTTACATAATATGCCTGGTACCCTGCTACATTCGTCTTTAATCACCACTGCAAGCGCCCACCTTCCAAGTCTTAGAGTAAAAAACCACCGCATTCCATGATCTATAGTAAAGATTGCGGTAACACCATGTATTTATCTCTTCTTTGAGTATGTGTGGTTCTGAGAAGAACCACACATACTCANAACCTAATATTTGACTTTGTGAGGCTAAGGTTGAAATTAGCCTAACAAATATTTAACTCTGTATGATGTACAAGGACACTTCCTACTCTTAGATAAGTGCAGGTGTTTGCCCAGACTCTCATCAGTCTTTCCATGGACGGTTCGTGTACAGATTAGGGGCCACTCAAAATTTTCAGTGTTTTTAAATTTCTGATTTTTTTTCATTTTTTTTGATCCACCCACCCACCCCCAATTTTGATTACAAAAACTGAATTTTCATCCAGTACGTGTACATTATACATTTGATATAAATTTATATATATGTAAAAATCTACAATGCAACACAGTATGACAAGATGATGGCTGGAATTGCAATAAATGATCGTGATCGATTGTGCATGATCGAACAGCATGCCATGTCCAATCCACTCAAAAATGGATCTCCTGAGGTACGGCTACGCCTACAGTCAATTACAGCGTCTCCACGCACATGCATATGTATTTCTATTGAAACAGAGACTTAGACCTAGCTCTAGCCAACAGATTTGGACGCAATTTGCTGCTGTCTGGTTAGTCTTAGATACAAGGTGATGAACATATCACCATTATTAGTAACTGGTTATATAGTAGGTTTATATAATACACCTGGTACCCTGCTACATTTGTCTTTAATCACCACTGCAAGTGCCCACCTTCCAAGTCTTAGAGTAAAAAACCGCCTCATTCCATGATGTTTCACACGTTCATAATAAAGCACAGGAAGGGTCAATCTGTCTGTATATGGAAACAAGGTTAATAAAGATTGCAGTTTTGGAATGCTGGCGTGGCGTGCATGCTACGTGTATTTCAGGCAAGTCAGAAAAATAAGTTTTTCTGGATTTTAATATAAAAAGTAAATTTCGATTTTCAATTTATTTTCTTGACCCATCCACCCACTATTTAAAAAAAATGTCAAAAATTCAAAAAACACTGAAAATTTTGAGTGGCCCCTTAGGAAGACCAGTGTCCATTGCTGGAAAATCACCTGGAAAACCATTCACCCTTGCTCACTTTTTAATTCACTCATTTGTTTTTTACTGCCTGGTCTTGTCACAAGAGGAGTACTATCACCTCTTGGCTGAGAAGATCTACAAGATCCAGAAGGAGCTGCAGCAAAAGCAACAGAAGAGGATTCAGGAGGTACTGATGCTGCCGCTGGAGGCATCCTCACGATGGCAACAGCGCAGCTGCCCCAGCCACAGCCTCCCCACTATTTGCCCAGACCTGGATGTCTACTGGGAAAATGTAGCTCTTTCAACCAACGTATATCAGC